AGTGAGCTCGCAGAGTCAGCACATATGTTTTCTGAGGAGGGCCTTTAAGACAGGCTCTAAGCCCACACCCCAAATATTCGGTTTCCCTACTCATAAGATTGTCTGAAGGAGATCTACCGGGCTTCTAGGCTCAGCATACATCACAAGAAGGCTTGTCTGTCTGGGTCATTTGCCAGCCCCTGCCCCCAGTTTTCAGACGGACCGTGGGCCTGCCTCAGTGCTCCTGGGAGAGAGAATGATGATCTTTTGTCTTTGGCTCCATGTGACATTAGATGCCCTGAGATCTCCCTCACTAGCAGCACCACCTGTATCATTTCCTTTCAACACACCTAGAAATATGGTTAGAAAAGACAGGGACTTAACCCAGTTTTAATAAGACCTCCCTTAACTTTAGACCTATGGACCAAATTTGTCTGAACTTGGCTTATCACTTTACTTTGACAGTAATAGGAAAAATCAAAGGTGGAGTGATAGAGCAGATGCTTTCTTGCTATTAGATTCTAGGCTCAATAAAATTAGCATCTCAGATTGGCAGGCAAAACCCCCATCTGAATTCCCAGGGAATCACGGGCTATCCAAGTAGACAAGAGTCAGAGAGACCAAATTCAGCAACTTCTTCAATCCAGATGGGCCTTAATATCCAGACTGTCCTCTAAAATGGGAACAGTATATTATGTGATATGTTGGCTTTTACCTCTTGGTGTATTTTCTTTGAGATTTGCAGCAACATTTCTTATATTGGCTTTTTCAAGGGCACTAATGCAGACTTCCAGAGCAAGATCTTCTCCATAATTATGAATCATGAGATCTACAACTTTTCGCTTATCAGCTTTCTCCAAACGACCTCTAGGAATGTTGGGTTTTCCATCATAGTCAATGTCTTCTAGCATCCACTTAAATTCTTCAAACTGATCCTCAAGGAGCTGATCCAATGCTCTGTAAAGTTTTACTTTCACATGGCTGTCCATGTTGAGTACTATGGGTTATATCTGACCTAAAATTAAAAGGAAACAGTTACAAGATATTGTTCTTAGAAAATACAGGTTGAAGTTTATAGTCTCTTCTATCTTCACATTGAGGGTGATAGCACATTCACAAATGTATGCTACCTATAGCATAATAGTTTTAGAACAGAATATTTTCAAAGAAATAAGTTCTTAAAATGACAGTTTTTGCAAAGGCAAGATACACTGGTAGGACAGTGCCGTCAAAGTGGGAAGGACCAATGCAAAAAGTATTGTTTATTTTTTTAAATAATATTTTTATTAAAAGTCTGCCCGTCCCATCAGATCTGGCAGAGAAGGCATGCTGCAGATCCCGTTTGCTAGAGAATTACTTTTGGCGAATCCCACGAGGCTGGTCTTCTCTGCTGTGGGGCCCACCTTGTGGAATCTTCTCCCCCCAGAAGTGAGATTAACTCCACCCCTCTTAACATTCCACAAGTCCTGGCTATGTCATCAGGCCTGGTGCTCCCAGGGGACCAGGGAGATTTTACAATGGCTCCATTATTACTTTTATCCCCTCCTATCTTGTGTGTTTTTACAGTTTTTTTACAGTTTTTTTTAAGTGTAGTTGTT